TACTCGAAATACGAATCCATCGTTTCATTTGAATTAGGAAGACAATTTTATTTACCGAAACCTTCGTAAATGCATTAGATGAATAACAAAGAATATTTTCTTATTACAAATTTAGGAGAAAGTATTCTTTGTTTCCTATTACGAAAGACATTTTCTGTTTTTCTCTATATCATAAATTCTTCACGCACGTTAATTCAATAATTTCATTTCTAACGCTGTCAAGATGACTCTGAAATAAAGAGTCTCTCATCGTAAAAAATGCAACAAACATTGCTCGCGTGGGAGTTCGTTATTAGTGTTCACTGTTAATCATGATTCCTGATTACTCATACATAACCAGATTTAAATTTCCAGTCAGATTAGTCTTGCAACTGTTGATTTGTTTTTATAGAATTAGGAGATCTACATTTTCACGAAGATTTTCTCTAAAGAAATACTACGTTAGAATTTGTCTAATATACATTTACATTTACGAATAGGAAAGTGTAGAAACTCTTGTTTCATAAAATTAAAAATATTAATAGTGTACTAGCAAACTATATATACATGTCCTATACATAATAGACGTGTACTGTATACAGATATACATAACATGATCACGGCCTGTGATAACTACGACACCATTTACCGTTATATTAGCATAACAGTGAAGGTTGCACCAGACAGAGCGACGATTGATTGGACTCTGGTCCCATTTCGTTTCCTGCTGTGATACTCTCTCACAATATTCCGTTAGATTTCTACCCCTTCCGCTTCATCCCTAGTTTAAATAGCGTATCGATAGCCCGTCGTGTGCGAAACTCGAGGCGTATCGTTTCTATTGCGGACGAGAACCAGTCATCGGAATGGAAATGCGCCGGAAATACGATTAGTCCCGATTAATCATTCGCTGCGCCGGTTCATTAGGGGGTTACGCGACCGACCGGAAGGGAAAATGGGGATTGGTCGTTTATCCGTGGAAACGGGGCTGAGAAATGCTCGCCATCCCTGACGAGGACGCTGACAATATTTTCTATAGTTTCTGCGTTTATTTTCTCCAGTTCTCGACTGCAATCTTCATCGAATAAATAAAGATTATGGGAGCGATGGCTATTGGGAGCATTTTAATTCCGATTTATCATCGAGGGACGAGAATTTTCCATTTAAGTCTGTCTATCGATTTTTATTGGGTAAGATTAATGGTACTGTTGTAAATATATTTGTTGATAACAGTTTAGAAGAATTGAATTGCGTACTTTATACCATAGTTCTCTTTAAATACAAACAAGGCGTTTTACAGATATTAAAAACGAATCGCTTTCAATATTCATCGTTCATCTCGATTTTTCCATTCATTCCCTAGAGCGTTCAGTTCTTCATTTGATCGTTGAACGTTTCGATTCAATCCACGCTGCTCGTTCGTTGGATTTTCCATCTCGTCGGTTGTTTAATCGCTCGTAAGTAATTTTTTACTTGTTTTATCTACAGTGTTGACGTACGGGGTTTTTCATGTTTACTTGCCATTTCAGAATGAATTGTATACAGAAAATTAATAGGAACGTTTACAATATTCATTTCATTTGATAGTGATTTCAAAATGCCAGTCAGATTGGTCTTTTTATAAAAAAAATTAGGAAATCGACATTCCCTTGAACATTTCCTCTGAAGAAATGATGTTAGCGTAGGGAGTTTAATTTTATAAAATTGAAATAATTCAAAATAATTACAAATTTATATATACATGTATACATATTGCACGTATATATAAATTCATGTGTAACTATATTCATACACATTTATAAAATAACATTGTCCTCCTTTTTCGTTAGATTCTATTCGTTCTCTTCTTAAACTATTATTCGAATCATTGTACTTTTTTAAAATTATTTTCACACCACACCTCGAGATCTCTCTTTCACGCCACCCTGTACGTGAACAGAGTTACCGAAATCCGTCAACGTCAATTTAGAAAGTCGCGAAAAGGCTGTCTGGTTCCACTCTGAAAGGCGACAATGGAAGCTAAGTAGATTTGCTCGACCGTTGATCAGACGCGAAGTGGATCGAATCGAGCAGCGTTGAAGTAGTATGACCCGCGCTCTGATCAGACAAAGTCGCGCAGGTAGACTGGGACCGCGTTCGACCTGTTCGACGTGTACCCTGTAACGAATCGAGATGCATTTGAATTAATTCGGTGCAGCGTCACACCACCAGCGAGCAATTCTGACGTCGACGGTAATTTATATCGCCTTCGCGAACCAGGAAACGGAAATCCACCTAAAACGAACGAAAACGAATCCCAACTCGGAGACGACGATAGTTATCGCGAAACTCCTTTCAAAAGAGAAGAACAAATTCTTTCGAGTGATGAGTATACTGGGTGGGTCATGAATAAAGTGTACAACAATTTTGTTGAGGTACCCGAGAGAGCTAGGAGGTTCATTTGTTAAAAATCGAAGGGTTAATAATTTGATGGTATTTGGATATCTGTACTGGTTTAATAGATTTGCTAAATTTAAACTTTATTAATTTAAACTCTATCAATTTAAGCTTTAATAATTTAAGAGATGTAATTTACTAAATTTAACTAATTTAATAGGTGTGTTAATTTAGTTTTATTGGCTTGAACTCTATTAATTTAGTGTTTTCTATTTTAAAAGATATAGTAATCTGGAAACTAATCAAATTGAACTCGAAGGCTCCTGCGGTTTCAGCTTACCATCGAATTGAGAATTCATAAATGAATTTTACTTTAATAATTAATTACAGCTTGCAACACTTTATATGGCCCACTCTGTGTACCAAGCGTCGTGTAACAATACACGTGTATCATTTTTTAAAAACATTCTGGCCACTGACTCTGAACTCCATCATCCAGAGGTAACTTTTTCTAGTTTATGTTCCACGTCTGGTAACGAAGAGGGATCTTTGCGAAATATCAGTGACAAATCCAACGTCAACGGTTGGGAAACACGATCCTCGTGGAATATACTAGCAGAATACATCCCTCCTAGAGCCAGTTGTGAATAACTATGGAACTGGTGCACCTTTCACATATATCGGTTCGGGAGAAAATGGAATCGTAAATTTTTATGTAACATTCTGCAGTTTACGAGAAAAATTGGGAAAAAAGAGACAACATCGAATTGTGAACACCTAGAAGAATTTTACTTTTATAACTAAATGTTATAAAAGTATGTTATAAACGATAAATTATTATTATTGTACAATAATTCTTTCCTGAATATTAATACACAACAGGCGAAAAGTTTGGGGTCGATAAATAAATCAAAACAAGTAGAAATATTTTAAGAATTTGGGAACACTTTCCAAAATATCCAAGGATATTTTATTTCTAAAGAAATTGATAAGTGAAATATTCTAAATCTTGAAAATTATTTTGCAAATACTAAGTACTGGTCGTTAAATTATTCTTTCATGGGAAAAAATTGCTTTTATAAAAGCAATTCGTGTTAACATCTGGTATGGTAACGATGGACCAGGAACAGAATTTATTAGGACGATCGATTTCGGTACGAATTAGCAAGTGATTCCAAAGATTTGGCCGACAGTATATATGTAGAATAGAGCACCATGACACAGAGCCAAATCGGTCACAGAGATCCTTCTATCGAGAAACATCCCAGCATTTCCATGGCCAGTTGAACCAAGTTGAATGCCATTGAAAGTGTCTGGAGTCTGGACTAATCGCTCGTGTACTCGTCTTCGATAATCCGATTCACGGAAGTTCAAATGTTTGGGAAAATAATGAGGCCAGGACATTTCTGAGAGCTTTTGCCAATAATGGTTGCATAGTAGAGTCAAGAGAGGGAAATATAAATTATTAGTATGTATTTATACAACAGCTTGGTGGTTAATTAACTTTTATAGCAGAGATCCTTTTATGTCTTTCAATTTTGACAAGAAAAATTAAAAATATCGAGTGTTCTGAATAGTCCTAATTCGATGGTGGACTTCTTAGATTTCGATAGAAATAGTAACAGAATTAAGAAAGATTTTTCTTTAACTCGAAGGGAAAGTTCAATGAAGCGTGGTGCAGATATAGAAACCGCAGACTCTGCAGTTACACTCTGTATATCTTTATGAAAGTAGTAGAAAAGTTACAAGAGCTATCTTCTTAACTTAGAGCAAAAGTTCGACGAAGTATGTGAGGGGAGATATGGGAGTATAGGCGTCGCAGTTACGCTCTGTAGATCTCTATAAAACTACTATCGAAATTATTGCGGATGTCCTCTTAAAGTACGGGGTAAATGGGACCAGTAGTTGTTTCAGTTACGCTCTGTAGATGCCAACAAAAATGATAAAAAGACTCCTACAGATATCTCTTTAACGCACAACGGAGGTTCAATGAAGCATGAACCAGGGTAAATAGGTAGATATTTCAGTTACAGTCTGCAGATGTCAATAAAAATAATATAAAGATATCTTTTTAACGTGCAACAAAGATTCAATAAAGTTTATGACATCGAGTAAACAGGTAGACGAATCAGTTAGTCTGTAAATGCCAATAAAGATGGTACAAATATATCTTCCCAACAAGGATTCAAACAAATCCCATACTAAATACTACACACCTACACTCTACGAATCCCTACAAAAATAGTATCAAAACAATCGTGGATATCTTTTCAACGCACATCGAATGTTCCACGAAATATGGCTGGCGCGTAACAGTGGTCCTCGAGCTGTAAATTCGGGTAGCCATAAAGATTGCCCTTGAGCGGTCCTCGCGACACGAGAGAAACTCCCCCGTCTTCCCCTCCACAAATTACATTTCACGTCAAAACGGTGCCATTAATCATTACATTATTCCATGCTCCATCATCGACCAGCCTTCCTCAGCAAACTTATCACTCGAATCCCCCATTCAAGGGCAATCTCTCCGTGTCTATCTTAAGCGTACCCGAAAGGTCAGCGACGAATCGGCGCGAGATCCTCGTGGAAGTAAAATATCACATCCCGAAGTATGAGATCCAGCGAACGATTAGGGAACAGGTACACACCTTGGTGTATTCAAACAAGATTCGTAGCACAGAGGGGACGTCTGGTGTTTGTGGCGGGCGAGAGTCGCCTCTGCGAGTCGGGGGCCCCCAGGTGTCGGAGTGGCTGCTCGTTGGTGGGTCCAAGTCTCTTTGGAGGGGTAGGACCACTCGATCCCACCGAGTGAAACGCGATTTTTTCGTTTGTCAATGTGGTATGCTAGTGCGTTTGGCGGCCTGCGCGCGTTCCTTTCGGAACGAGGCGAACGCGGGTGGTACGCGGTGCCGACTGAACGTCCCCGGCGTCCGCCAGAATGTTGCCGCTTGTCTAATAACGGCGGCGAGAAGCAGCGGGCTGCGCCGAGAGCGGTTGCCACGGCTGACGACAGAGAAACCGCGGGAAGGACAGGGAAAGACCGACTGGGGGGAATGCACGCAGGATCGAGCGAGAGCGGACCTGGAACGCTCTCCGGGAGGGGCGGTTGGGGAAAGGAGAGGGCAGAGGGTGCGTGGAGCTGGTGAATCCAGGAGGAACAGGGATGGAAACAGGAGCGCTAGGGAGGGTTGGGTCGTGTAACGCCCAGTAGCGTGCGACGAATGGAAACGGGCTTGCGATTCTTCGACGAGAGATCTCTTTTGGGTTCGACGTCGAATAGGACGGATTCGGGGCGCAGACTTAATGAACTTTCTTGTTGGTAGTTGTTTAGGAGTTGTAATTAAATCGAAGTCGAGTTTAGGAAGGTTGTTTGAATAGGAATATCACTCTGGGGTTGAGGAGTAACGTGTGAGAATTTTGGTGTTGAATTTTGTTGAAAATTGAGTGTTATTGGCGGCTGGTAGATATAAGTTGTTATGCCAAATTTCGTCAAATTCTGATAGACCAGTCCCGAGATACGAGAGAAAACAGGTTGACGTATGTACTGTCCACGCGCGAGAAGAATGGAACTGGTCATGATCGTATGTTCTACTACCACACTTTATACAAATTGTGAAACTATAAATGTGAAACTCTGTAAGTAGATAAAGCGATCTCTTAATTCCGAATTTTGAATTAGTTGCGATATCTAGAGGTCGTGGACAGTAGCATTCATCTCGCGCGCAGACAGTACATACATATCATGTTACTGCATCAAAGTCGTCATACTAAACTCCACGAATTTCTGGTAAACTACTAGATTGAATTAGTGTATTTAAACGTTTGTTTCGTGGAAATTAGACGTATCGCCTCTAATAGTACTAAGGGAAGGAATGTGTGAGGCTCCTCAGCTTCGATAGACGAAGACAGGGACACGAAGCAGGAGGGTTGGGTCGTATAACACCCAGTAGCGTGAGATGGATGGAAATGGCAGCGATTCTACGACGAGAGGGTCGCAGAGAAAGAAACCCTAGGCTGAGACGGCGTAGAGAATCGAACAGGGAGGGACCCCAGTAATGAGAGTGTTATGTTCCTAGTAACCTCCACCCTGCCCACATATTTTATTTCAAAGTCGATAAGTCGTGAAGAGCGTCGATAGAGCAATCGATTTCTCGAGTGCATTATCGACAACCTGCATGCATAATTTATACCTACGACGCTTGGAAAGAAACTGAGAGAGAGTTTTATTTGACAACTTGGAGTTGTGGATGTTTTTTGGGTGTTCCTGTTGATCCAATCGCACTTTGTGTTGGTATAATTTATGGTACATAGAATTGGTAGAAACGTATTTAATTTGGAAACATTAGGGAGGTGAAAAATAGGGGCAGCGTGTTGTGCGCGAGGTAGATGCGCAGATTTAGTTCCCGCGCAGAATTGGTTCCTGCGCATCTACCTCGCGCACAACGCGGTCCTTGTTTCTTAGCTGGCGACGCTGGTGCTTCCATAATGTCGAGATAAGCCTTCCATCCTTCATTGCCCAATAAAATAATACTTTCATATTTGAAATACTTTTCAAAGTCTCCTATTATAAGCTATCAACCAATTCAGATTCTATAAAAAATGAAGCATCTATTTTGCAATTAGTGTTCAACGCAAATAGATGTCTATTTAATAGCAACGTCCACGGAATAAAGTGAAAAGAATTGAATAACAAGCTCAACTTTCCTCGCTGCCATTTTCTGTTAACACGAGCGAATTTCCAGCAGTAGCTGCAAGTTACAGAATTGGGCCAACGAAAAATTGGTTTGCGGAAAGTTGCAGTTTCGAGCGCTAAAGTATAGTCGGTACACACGATACGTCACGCGCGGACCGAATGCATCATTCGCTGCTTTCGTGTTTTTACACCGAAACTATTATGTACTGCACCCTATTCGTGGTTCCCAGGAAACACGTAGGGATATGTCAGCAACTGCAAATGTCGGGTAGAGCAGAGAATTTTTCTTGGGGACGTGTCGAAATCCTTCGAGTATATCAGGCTTTTCTAAACTTTCCAGAACACTGCAATTCTTGGAAACTAGACTCCCAGTTGTAATGACAAGAATGATAAGTATGTCTTTACTTAAATTATTCACATTCTTTCAAAGAAACTCAGGTACTTGTGACATTATGCAGTATGGGGATTAGAAGATTGAAATCGGAGAGATATGGATTTATTACAAGAAAATAATTCAACTACGACATTTTTAACAAGTAAGATTAGTTTCTATAACCAATATTCCATAAACGATCATTTTTGGAAAAGAAATTCAATTTTTTTTTTAAAAATTGATACTTCCCATTCGTTACTCGTCACTAAAACAATAACATACCCAACTCTGCTATATAATTAAAGCATAAATTGCCACAGCATCCCTCCTCCCAATAAATACCGTAATTATGCGCATCACAGTGTACCCGATACCCCTGATATCCTCCCCTCCCATAATGGAAGCATTGCAAATTGGAAAAAGAATAAAAAGAGAAGCGATTCGAAGCTGCGGGGTCACTGTGGAGGATGGGGGATGAGGGAGAGAAAGTGTTTGGTCGAGAGCTGTGGAAAGGGATGAATAAAATGGAAAGAAGGGGAGAGATTCTGGAGAAGGGGGCTTGTTGATAGAACGGGCGAGTTGGAGATAGCGAGAAGGAGGGGGAAGTGATAGTGTCGAAAGAGGATGAACGGAAATACCGTGTAACACACGATGCGCGTGATACCTGCGAGCAAGAAGGAGGGATCAAGTTGAGGTAGCGTCGAAGAGGTCGACGAAGAGCGATAGATCCCTGCTGGAACGTTGTAGGGGTGTCCATGGCACGCCAGGGGCGAGTGAGAAGCAACGGGGTTGGTGGAAGGGAAACGGCGGATCCCCCGTGAAGCTGAAACGGAAAGCCGAGAGTAAAAGTAAGGAAGGAAACGGGATAGTGATACTAAGCTGACGCCAATAGCGGCGCCACGTGAGAGAAGGACAGACATAAACGAGATGGAGAGGGTGGGAATAGCGAGGGGGACGCGAGGATCCTCCAGGGGTGGCAGATGGAACTGGGAAACGGGGAAAATCCGAGGGAGGGCGACGGTTGGATGAACCGGAGAGGGACAGAAAGCGATGTCGAGGGAAAGAAAAAGCCAGGGGATGAATAAGAGATAAATAAGGACGAGCTGCGAGGCCCTGACGTAAATAAAGGGCGACGGAGACGATATGAATCGCTGAGAAAAAGCTGTGCACCGAAGGGGAAAATATGGAAGACGCGACGCTGGAATAACAACGCCTCTGTGTAAAAAAAGAATGCTGATGAATGTTTGCGACGGAATCACCGGGGAGGGAATGCAAGAGGGAATCCCCGGGAATAATTGCGAGCACCAGGGAAGGGATGCACAGGGGATGAAACAGTAAAACTGACGAAACCGAAGAGAAGGAAAGGAGTAATGTGAAAAATTGGTATCGCGGGAATCGAACGAATAATAAGCGCAGGGATTGCTCGTACAAACGGACATGTGTGTAGGTGTGTTGGGGTGAGTCACCCCGGAAAAGACGAGTCTGACGCGTTTCTGTGTTGTTTTCGATGAACAGGTTTTACTAGAAGGGGCGGATCGTATGACGCGGATTCTCTTTGTCCTTTTATCGAGGTTGAGGCTTTCGAGACTGTCACGGACAGTTGGCCTCGCGTGATTCTGATACCTATTGTTTAGGCACATGTTTTGTGAGGATGTGAATATTGTGGGATGCAAGCATATTTGTAATTTTTTAGGTCAAGGTGGGTGTAGAAAATTTAATTTTCAATTTATATTTTGTTTTTTCGTTGTTTTATTTTTTTTTCTTCGTTGTTGGATATTAAAATATAAAAGGAGATTTAAGAGAATGTGACAAGTAACATACAGATTCACGACAGGATTAAATTTTATTATATATAAAATTCTTCAATTTTTCATGTCAGGATTCGATAATTTAGTTTTCAATTTATATTTCGTTATTTAACAACGATCCTGAAAGTAAATATTTGTTTTTCCACTTTAGAATGTAAGGGAAATGAGGACAATTTTCTATATGAAAACATAAAGGGATTTATATATACATTCACAAACATAATTGGATATGTAATAATGTTCCTGATAATGAACGATTATTTTTCATTTTATGGTATAAATAAACTAAGAAGAATTTTAAATATAAAAATGTAGAAGCGTAGAGTTTGTCACAAGTATGCACGTATTCGCAACAGGATTAAATTATGTATAAAATTCGACGAAAACTCCAAATTTATTATGAAAATATGTGTACGTGATACGAATACTGGTTAAAATTCCATCTCCGTTTCGAATAGAGCTCTAGCACTTCAGATTCCAATCGTGGTCGGTTTACCTCGTGCATCGGACAAATTAAACGAGGTAGTAGAGGAACCCATAAAAGGCCCAGGAATCGTAAAAGTTGGACAAATTGCAGACGAAGTAAAGTTTGTTATAAAAAAAAGCAGGAAAATGGAATGGAAATAAAAAGAGGGTAGTATCAATTCGAGCAATGAAACAGTCGTTAGGAAACGTGCGCGATTCGGTTCTGACTGGTTGCCGAGCGAAGAATAAGGGGGTGGTGAGCCAACGAAGGAAGGGAATCGAGCAAGGACAATACCAAAGAAAAGGATGAACATCGATGTGGAGTCAATGTCATCTCTTGGATCGTCCTGACGACCGTATAGATTTTTCTAACGTCCCGAGCCAAGGGATACTTTCAAACGAAGGCTCTGCCAACTACCGGTCTATTACGCGTGACGTCAAACCTGGAACTCATACTTCCTGGGATTATGGGTTTATCCTTGACGTTTGGTACAGGAAGGGCTAAAAATCTGACGTTCTAGTAGATTTCAATGTGGTATGAGCATATAATGAAAGATAAAAAAGTGGTGAGACGTAGAGAAATAT